ATGAACAGATACTTTACAAAAGAAGACATTCATGAGGCCAACAAATATATGAAAAAATGCTCATCATCACTGGTCATCAGAGAAATGCAAATCAAAGCTACATTGAGATACCATCTCACGCCAGTTAGAATAGCGATCATTAAAAAATCTGGAGACAACAGATGCTGGAGAGTATGTGGAGAAGTAAGAATGCTTTTACACTGTTGATGGGAGTGTAAATTAGTTCAACCATTGTGGAAGACAGTGTGGCAATTCCTCAAAAATCTAGAAATAGAAATACCATTTGATTCAGCAATCCCCTGGGTATATACCTATAAGATTATAAATAATTTTACTATAAAGACACATGTACACGTATGTTCATTGCAGCACTATTCACAATAGCAAAGACTAGGAACCAACCCAAATGTCCATAAATGATAGACTGAATAAAGAAAATGTGTCATGTATACATCATGGAATACTATGCAGTCATAAAAAGGATGAGTTTATGTCCTTTGTAGGGATATGAAGAAAGCTGGAAACCATCATTATCAGCAAACTAACCCAAGAACAGAAAAACCAAACACCACATGTTCTCACTCATAAGTGGGTGTTGAACAATGAGAACACATGGACACAGGAAGGAGAACATCAGACCTGGGGGTCTGTTGTTGGCGGAGGCTAGAGGAGGGATAGCAGGGGGTGGGGGTACAGGGGAGGGATAGCATTAGGAGAAATACCTAATGTAGATGACAGAGTGATGGATGCAGGAAACCTCCATGGCACGTGTATACCTATGTAACAAACCTGCATGTTCTGCATATGTATGCCAGATTTTAAAGTATAATTTGAAAATAAATAAATAAATAAATAAACAAACTGTGATACATATATATGATGAAACAGACATTAAATGGAACAATCTACAGACTCAATGCAATTATTCACAAAAATAAAAAACACAGTCCTAAAATGTATATGCAGACAAAAAACCCAGACTAGTCAAAGTCATCCTAAGCAAAAAGAACAAAACTGGAGAAATCATGTTACCTGAGTTGACACTACACAAAGCTATAGTAATCAAAATACCATGATGCTGGCATAAAACAGATACATAGATAAATAAAACAGCATAAAGAACCCACAAGTTAATCCACATATTTAAAGTCCATTTATTCTCAATAAAGGTGTCAAGAACATACATTGGGGAAAGAACAGTCTCTTCAATAAATAGTGCTGTGAAAACTACATAGCCATATGAAGAAGAATGAAACTAGATCCCAATCTCTTGCCATATACAAAAATCAAATGAAAATGAATTAAAGACTTAAATCTAAGACCCTAAACTATAAAACAACTAAAACAAAACATTGGGTAACCTCTCCAGGACATTAATTTGGGCACACATTTCTTGAGGAAAACCTCAGAAACTCAGGCAATCACAGCAGAAATTGACAAATAGGATCACATCAAGCTAAGAAGCTTCTAAATAGAAAGGGAAACAATCAACCAAGTGAGGGGACAACCTACTGAACAGAAGAAAATATTTGTAAATTACTCATCTGACACGGGATTAATAACCGGAATATAGGAGGAGCTCAAACAACTCAATATAAAATTTAATTTGAAAATGAGCAAAAGATCTGAGTAAACATTTCTCAAAAGAATGCATACAAACAGGTATATTAAAAGAGGCTCAATATCACTGATCATCAGGTAAAGGCAAATAAAAACTACAATTAAATATCGTCTCATCCCAGCTACTTGGGAGGCAGAGGCAGGAGAGTTGCTTGAACCGGGACCCGGGAGGCGGAGGTTGCAGTGAGCCAGGATTGCACCGCTGCACTCTAGCCTGGGCTACAGAGCAAGACTCTGCCTCAAAAAAAAAAAAAAAAAAAAAAAAAAAAAATAAAAAAAAAAAAAAAAAAAAAAAAGAAATGTAATTGTCATTTCAGCGTATTTGACGTATGAATCAATTCCTCAAGTATTTACTCAAGTATACAATTCTAATAGTAAAAGAAAGCTTTAGTAAAAACAAATATATTTGTTCATGACTTTTCATCAAATCAATTTAAAAATGTTCAGTGCCTCAGACTATTCATATGCTGCAGGCATGAAAAATTTAATGATTTTTTTCTTTCAATATTACAAAAACAGTTAACTTTAAAGATTCAATTTGATTGTGAATTGGGATATCACAATAGGTGGCATCCTTGGAATACACAAACTACATGATAAAACTACAACCATTTCTATCATTTAACTACTCTGTTGTAAAATAGAAATATTCTGAGAACCCTGCTTGAAGTGAAGGGGAGGCCTTTTAAAATGTTCACTTATAGGTTAGAATTATAACTATACAGAAAATTTTGGTTGGCAGAATGATTTAGAGCTGTCTGGCTCTAGATCCAAGTTGGTAGCCACTAGCCACAGCGGTCATTTAAATTTAAATTAAATAAGGTAAAATACAGTTGAAATTTCAGTTCCTTAGTGGCAGTTTCTACATTCTAGGTGCTCGATAGTCCTATAGGATGGCAAAGGTGTACACCATTTCTATGAGAGCAGAAAGCTGTATTGAAACACAGATCTAGAGACTAACCTGATAAAAGCCAATATCCATCATTGATACTTCCTCCTGGTGATGATAGTGCTGGTTCACAATTTGGAGGAGCATAACCAGGATCACACTGACAATTGAAATGTTCATTGCAAACCTAAAACCAAAACAAACAAACAAGAAAAAATTATACAACTAAATTAACTGCCTGATATATGACTGTCAATATAAAATTTTAAAATATTACCATTTAATATAAGGAGCTTTAAATTTAATATGAAAAAATTTTAGAAATAAAAGGTAGTATAATAAATGTCCATGCAATATATTTTCAAAAATCATAGAGGTATCTTCTTTGTTTGTCTCTTACATTTCCAAATAAAAGGAATAATTCTTGATAAAATTTAAATGCGTTTTATTAGAAAGGCATGCAGGTTATGATGTTAGAAACTGTAGAATCGTGGGAGTAAAAATTTGTTATGAATTGTGCTGGATTTAAAAAAAACAATTGTGACGAGGGCAAAATTTTATTAAAAAATATGGGGGAAAGCCAAAGTTTCAAGATGCTTGCTCAATCAGATACATTTATATAGAAAGAAGAAAGAATGTATACATGTGATCTGGCAGATGATTAGAAAAAGGGCCAGTAGGCGGGGAGTGGTGGCTCAAGCCTGTATTCTCAGCACTTTGGGAGGCTGAGGTGGGCGGATCACGAGATGAAGAGATTGGGACCATACTGGCCAATATACTGAAACCCTGCCTCTACTAAAATACAAAAATTAGCTGCACGTGGTGGTGCGTGCCTGTAGTTCCTGCTACTTGGGAGGCTGAGGCAGGATAATTGCTTGAACCTGGGAGGCAGAGGTTGCAGTGAGCTGATATCGCGTCACTGCGCTCCAGCGTGGCGCCTGATGACAGAGCAAGACTCTGTCTCAAAAAAGAAAGAAGGAAAGAAAAAGGGCCAGTAGAGAATTCAGAAATAAATGCATACAAAATTAGTTAAGAAAGTCAATTAAAACTAAGTAACAAAAAAAGGAACTGTAAATAATAGATGTGTAAGTAATTTTGGAGAAAAATTGATGTAAGCCACACAGACAGGTCAGTTTTTTTTCCTAAATTACTATAAAAAATATGAACCATCAATATGGCAGAAGACACTGACCATAAAGAGACAAATGCATGCTTAGAATGACTTATAAAGTTTACAAAAGCCAGTAAATAAGTTTACAATACATGAACAAACAGAAATGCAAGTGGTAGATATGACCATACTTAGGAGTTGCATTATTAAATATCAAATAAATTCAAATTAACAATAGACTTAGCATGTTAAAAGAGACTAAAAAGGTTAATACCACTAATCTGGGCAGAATATGAGGAAATGCACATTTTCATATATGATAGATGGGAGAAAAAAACTGGTATAATGTTTCTTGAAGACATATGTTACTTAGGAAAATTCAAATTGTTTATATATTCGGTCCAAACAAATTTTATTTGCTATTCATTTAAGAAAGCAGGTAAATGTGCAAAGGTAAATTTACAATAATATCTGTTGTATCACTATTTGTAATAATTAAGCTAAAGTTTAACATCAATTGAAATGCCATCAATGAATGGCATTTCAAATATTGTATGGATGATCCATATAGTGAAATAAGTTGAAGCTGTTGAGGAATGAAACAGATCTTAATGGACTGAAAACTCTGATTCTATAAATCAATGTGCATAATAGTATGTGAATGTTCATAAATATTAAGTACACATACACTCAATTATAAACATTATGTATATGCATAAAAGTATAAGTGTAATCCTTAATAAATCCATTTCCAAAATTTTGTAATCTTAATCTAATGTTATACTAACGGATTCTGTTTCACAGTGCATTTTTTACAAAGTGTATACTTATTTGCTCAAGAGGCCTAAAACAATCTGATCATACACATAAATTATATATATATTATACATATAGTGAATCTACTTTTCTTTTTACTGACAATTTTCAAAAAGAAATTTTCACATGTAATGCTTGTGAACTCATAGAAAGTGTTATTAACATATATTAATTATACTAAGAAAAAGAGTAACTTGTTACATACCCCATGTCCTGCGCAAGTTCTGTTACACTTTGTTATATTTATGTCACCAATAAATAAGCATTGTTTTGATCGACATGCCTAAAATGTTAGAAAGCAAACAACAACAAAAATACTAAATGTAAAGTCAAGAGATGAAGAATCATGTTTGTACAAATATTATATATGCACAGGAGGTATACAGAACAGGTAAATCTGAATTTCATAACATTTTATTTTCATAAAAAACATATGAACAATTTCTAAATGGTATATTACTTAATAAAAAATATTAAAAATGAGATATTTTATGTTCAGAAAGCAGAAATATAATTTTTATTACAAGCTGGTATAAGAAAAATGTAGCCAGCTTGTACTGGCAATTTTTAATTTATAGGGCCAAATTTAACATTTTTTATGCATCGTTCTATTATTTATTAATATAGATCCTTAGAAGAAGATATTTTTATGCTCATTTTCTATTTGAGTAGTAGATTGGCTATGTCAAATGGTGTGTCTATATTTAGTACTTTGAGGAATCTCCATAGTCTTTTCAAATAGGTTGTACTAATTTACATTCCCAACATCAGTGTATAAACTTTTCTTTTTCTCCATGTTCTTGACATCTATTATTTTTTGACTTTTTAATAACAACCACTCTGACTAGTGTAAGCAGATATCTCATTATGGTTTTAATCTCATAGTTGGTGATCTTGGGCATTTTTTTCTACGTTTTTTCACTGTATGTCTTCTTTTGAGAAGTGTCTGTTCATGTCCTTTGCCCACATGTTAATGGGGTTACTTGGTTATTTTGTTGTTCTGTTGTTTGAGTTCCCTGCAGATTCTGGATATTGGTTCTTTGTTGGATTTATAATTTGCAAATATTTTTCCATTCTGTAGATTATGTGTTTACTGTTGTCTCCTTTGCTGTGCAGAAGACTTTTAGTTTAATTAAGTCCCATTTGTCTATTTTTGTTTTCATTGTGTTTGCTTTTGAGGATTTGGTCATGTATTTTTGCCTAGGCCAATGTCCAAAAGAGTTTTTGGTAGGTTTTCTTCTAAGGTGTTTATAGTTTCAGATATTACATTTAGGTCTTTAATCCACCTTGAGGTCGTTTTTGTATATGCTGCAAGGTATGGATCCAGTGTCATTCTTCAGCATATGCTATCCAGTTTTCCCAGCACCTTTTTGAAGACAGTTTCCCCAATGTATGTTCTTGCTGGCTTTGTTGAAGATCTGTTTGCTGTAAACATGATGTGGATTTCTGGGTTCTCTTTTCTGTTCCATTGATCTATGTGTATATTTTTATAATCATATCTTGCTGTTTTGGTTACTATTGGATTGTAGTGTAATGTAAAGCTAGGTAATGTGATGCCTCCATCATTGTTCTTTTTGGTTAGGATTACTTCGACTATTCAAGCTGTTTTTGTGTCATATAAATTTAGCCAGGAGTGTGTATACAAAAGGCTGTCACACTGGCCCTTTGCCCTGGCTGGCAGAGGGCAGCTGCGGGCCCACTGAGCTGTTAACACTTAAACCATCTACAGATGACAAAGCTAAAAACGCACTGAAACATGCCTTCTGGAGCTTCAGGGGTTATAGGCACCCCCTTAGACCCTGCTTTGGGGCCCACAGGGAGTTTGTTCCTGCCAGCACGCAAAAGCACTTGCCCTGGCTTCTTCATTCTCTCACCTGCACTTTCTCTCCTGCGAGGGGCGGAATGCAGCAGGTCCCAGTGAGTGGAGTTCACTCCTGCCAGCACCAAACTGGTTGACTGGTTTCTGAGCTCAGGTACTCCAGTTCCGGCCTTCTTGTTCCTGTGCGCCCTCCAAGGAGGACTTGAGAGCAAAAGGCTGAATAAACAAGGCACCCCTGTCGTGAGTCCCACAAAGGGGCTGGGGAGATATCCTGCTTCAGTATTGTATCAATTTTATCTTTTTGAAGAATGAACTTTTTGTCCTGTTTATCCATTGGCTTTATTTTCTTTGTTTAATCTCTGTTTAGTAATGACGGACCTCGGTTCTCACTCTATGAGTTCTCATGAGAGCTGGTTATTATTATTATTTTTAAAAGGAGCGTAGAACTTCCCTCCTTTCTCTCTTGCTTCTTCTCTCACTATGTGATCTCTGCACATGCCAGTTCCCCTTCTCCTTCTACCAAGAGTGGAAGTAGCCTGAACCCCTCACCGGAAGCAGATGCTGGCACCATGCTTCTTGTTCAGTCTGCAGAACTGTGAGCCAAATAAACTGATTTCCTTTATAAGTTACCCAGCCTTAGTATTATTTCATAGCAACACAACAACTAAGACACATTAGATATCACAAGCTAAGGGGCTTCATCTTTCAAGACTGGCCCCATACCAGGTGCAAGTAAGCCATACTTCTGACAGACCAGATATAAGTTAGGGGTTTTTATGACTCCCTCCACAGGGTAACAATGTTAGCATGGCTCACAGAACTCAGGAAAATACTTTGCTTATATTTAATGGTTTATTATATAGGATACAACTGAAGAACAGCTACATGGATGATATATTTAGGGCAGGGAATTGGAGAAGGGAAGAAGAATTTCCATGCTTTCTCCAGCCGCACCACCCTCCCAGAAAACTGATATGTTTTTTAGCCCAGAAGATCACTGAATCTCTTTGTTCAAGGGTTTTAACAGAGATCAATGTAATAGAGATCAATTGAACACTTTGTTCAAGGGTTTTAATAGAGATCAATTTCCAGCCCTGCCTCTCTTCTTCCAAAAGTCCAGTGAGTCAGGCTGAAAGTTCCAGCTCTGTAATCTCTTGGTCATCCTGATAACCAGTCCTGTTCTAAGGCCAGCTAGCGGTCCCACCCTAAATCACCTGATAGAAATAAGCACAATTTCAGGTGTGACTGAACTTGAGAATGTGTTCTCATTCTCAAGAACAAAAAACACTTCCATCACTTGGGAAATTCCAAGGGTTTTATTAGAAGCTGTGTGCCAAGAATCAGAGACAAAGACTGAATATGTTCCGTATTATGCTGTCTATATTACAAAAATTAAAATTGATCCTCGTGCAGTGGCTCATGTCTGTAATTCTAGCACGTTAGGATGCTGAGATGGGTGGATCACAAGGTCAGGAGTTCGAGACCAGCCCGACCAGCACGGTGAAACCCTGTCTATACTAAAAATACAAAAATTAGCTGGGCATGTTGGCACATGCCTGTAATACCAGCTGCTTAGGAGGTTGAGGCAGGAGAATCACTTGAACCCAGAAGGCGAAGGTTGCAGTGAGCCGAGATGGTGCCACTGCACTCCGGCCTGGGCGATATAGTGAGACTCCCCCTAA